AAATAAATAAATAAATAAATAAATAAATAAATAAATAAATAAATAAATAAATAAATAACCCACCTTGCAGTATGTTTGATGGGCCTCGCATTCTTCCACGTCGATGTCTTGGTTTATTGCCCATCCAGTCATACACATACTAGATTCATGCATAAACCCGTCACATACAATACACCTTAATGGGCTCACTACATGGACGAAAAACAAGGTATAATCTTTCGGTACCTGAAAATGTCGTTTTGGGCTTCGTGGAAGACGGTGGGTCATGTGAACAGTGTAACATGAAATTTTCATTCGAATGAAATAACATTTCTAAGTAAACACATTTTTACACGTCTGTATTTGCAATAGTCAAATAAAATATTCAAAGTACTTTTACAAACTATGATATTACATAGTCATAATTATTACACGTAAATAATATTAATCGATGGTATATTAAGGATGCAATCTTATTGCTACCATATGTGAAATTATACATTTCCGCTTACCGTCTTCACAGTTGTCTCCATAGTGGTTTTGTGGACATCTGCACATCCCGTGTACACACCAGCCTGCGTTGCAATCCGAATTATTCATACATGATGACGTCATACCCGTCATCGCACCATCTTCGCGGTCTCCATCGTGATCGCCATTCATCTGTGCTGCAGAGTTGAAATGTGTCCTCAATATCATGTCAGAAAATGCTTATTCGTACAAGAAATTCTAGACCAGCGGTAGGTACACTGTGTTTTGTGGACGTCGCAATGTTGGTGTAACAACATGTACATTTGAATGTGTTTTCTATAATTTCTTTTTTACTCTAATAATTGATGTAATAATGAAATTACTAGGACAATGATAAAAAAGAAATTTGACATGAACAGATGAATTCGAAACATGACATTTTTTGTATATAAAGTTATACAATGGATCAATCTGATTGCCCTAGGTGGGCTTTGATTCAGAACTTGTATGAAAGGCTCGATTTTTACAAAATACTGGTTATGGAACGATTCATGATATTATCTGCTGGTAGGGGTTAACTCTTACCAAATACGGCACCCACAATCACCAATGACAAAATAATATACTTCATATTGTAAGGCTTTTTTGTTTTATGAATCTGAAAATAAAGAAAATAACATAAGCAAAACCGCTAGTAGCAGGGTCAGTAATGGACGATGGCTTGAAAAATTCCTAATCCCGTGTCCCGCAATACACTACTTCCATAATGAAAATTGACAAGACTCGTAGATCACTCAAATGTTAACAACTGCCTTCCAATTCTCTTTCATTTTGTTCTGTCCATCGTTCAAGGTTATAACTGACCCCTTCGAATTTCTTTTGACACAATGTTTGCTTTCGTATTGTGAAAGATCAACATCGTAGGATTGCAATCCAAAATGTAGCATGCAGTAACATGCCAATAACTGTACACTCTAACAACCAAATAAAATCCTACTGTCTATATGAGTAATCCAAACGGGAAAATGGAACGCGACGAAAATCGTTTGAGCAATAGAGCGTTAAAACATCTCAAAATTTCGATTAGTTCCAAACTTAACCACCAGAGTGGGAGAAATGATTCCAAATATGTAAAAAAAATAGTGATGCATCGAAGGGTTATTCAATTTTTAAGCAGAAATTTAGAAAAGAATGATACTTCTCTTTAAGTTCACTGGGTCCTTAAAACGTAAACTTCGGCATATTGTGGGCAAGGATAAATAAATCTCAAGTCAAGTGAAAGTATATAACATTATTAAAAACATCTTTTAACATCGTAATGATACAAAACAAGTTGTTTCAATATTTAATGTAAATTCGGTCTGTACTTACCACTGACTGTCTCTGTCGTGTATATTAGATCGCTAGTTAGTGATTGCTAGGTGAACGCTCAGGTACTTTATATAGCCAATCAAGGCGTTGTCGTTGCCATGAAGCTAGAGGTGCCTGCCAATACCTGGAACAAGCCATTATTCACAGGGTAACGTTCACCTCAATATGCAGATGCATGTATATGCTAAATAATGATTTCTTTTAAGGTAATGCTGAGTCATTGTCGGAGGTGCACCAACAAATACAAAAGTAACCACCCTTAGTACACAATGAATGGGGATAGGTCCTAAAACATAAGTACTAGGTCACGTTATTGAATATGCACCCGCATGTCATTCACTAAGTATTAATTTTTACGAAACAGTCTTTCAAACTTAGTGACTCATTCTCATGGTATAAACATTTGTTCGAGTTAGTTGTGTTTTTCAAGAAATATGCTGAAGATAACGACAGTAATTTAATAAGGGTTTCTAAATGCCGCTTTAATCGTTCATTTTGTGGATCTTTCGACTGATTCAAAAAATTAATTCGTTTCTCCTATTTGTACATAATTGCATTGTCTTGACACTGACCTGAATACATTGTGTATTCGAAGTAGGAATGATGTTTGCTTCTTATCCCAATTATGGAACATGAATAGCTGAAGCAAACGTCACACGAACCGATGTGTAACGCTGTTCAAACATTCTTGCTTTCCATCATTTATACTCACTATATTTGTTCAATGGTACAAATTCTACTGAAAGGGTCGTATGTAAATTACATGCCAGTAACCCAGTATACTGTGCGTACATAGCATCATATACCAGACAGTCTACTTGTGTAGCTCGCGCTCGTTAGTATGTCCCAGTAATCACTTGAAACAGACTTAGCTGCGATTTAGTGTAGTTTAACTAACAATTTCAAAGATGATATTTAGACACGGAAAGGAGAAACATGATGGACGCGATATCACTGAAGAAATATACCCCACCCCTCCTTTGAGAAACGACTACAAGAAAGATAAGTGGATGGGGTGGTCAAGTTTGAAAGACCAAATTACTTTTGCCTTCTATAGCATACAACATCAAAGGAATGTAACTTGATATTACGTTCTATACTAGATTTGGCACAGTCTCTTGTTTTTTTTATGTTTTTCAATTAATTATATCATGTGAGTGAAAATGCCGAAAACCGGGTTACTGCGAAAACCGGGTCACAGGTTTCCGCCATTACACACTCACGTAATACTTTATTTTATCGAGAAAAAAACATCAACAAACAAACAAACAAACAAGAGACTATAAAAAAGTCTATATGTTCCTGATTGTGGGCCAATCTTCATTAATTTCTCTGTGTGAATAACTCATGGGACATCTAAGGTGTCATGACTGAAGTTCAGACCAAATAGATGATTAAAGAAATTTCACTATGTCGACAACTCACTGAACTCATAGAACATCTGAGGTGACATGATTGAAGTACAGACAACATAGATGATTAAAGAACTTTCACTATGTCGACAACTCACTGCGCTCACGGGACATCTAGGTGACATGACTGAAGTACAGAGAAAATAGATGATTAACGAACTTTTATTATGTCGACAACTCACTGAACTCATGGGACATCTGAGGTGACATGACTGAAGTACAGACAAAATAGATGATTAGAGAACTTTCACTATCGCGACAACTCACTGAACTCATGGGACATCTGAGGTGACATGACTGAAGTACAGACCAAATAGATGATTAAAGAACTTTCACTATGTCGACAACTCACTAAGCTCATGGGACATCTGAGGTGACATGACTGAAGTACAGACCAAATAGATGATTAACGAACTTTCACTATGTCGACAACTCACTGAACTCATGGGACATCTGAGGTGACATGACTGAATTACAGACCAAATAGATGATTAACGAACTTTATGTCGACAACTCACTGAACTCATGGGACATCTGAGGTGACATGACTGAAGTACAGACAAAATAGATGATTAACGAACTTTCACTATGTCGACAACTCACTGAACTCATGGGACATCTGAGGTGACATGACTGAATTTCAGACCAAATAGATGATTAAAGAACTTTCACTATGTCGACAACTCACTGAACTCATGGGACATCTGAGGTGACATGACTGAAGTACAGACCAAATAGATGATTAACGGACTTTATGTCGACAACTCACTGAATTCATGGGACATCTGAGGTGACATGACTGAATTTCAGACCAAATAGATGATTAAAGAACTTTCACTATGTCGACAACTCACTGAACTCATGGGACATCTGAGGTGACATGACTGAAGTACAGACAAAATAGATGATTAACGAACTTTCACTATGTCGACAACTCACTCAACTCATGGGACATCTGAGGTGACATGACTGAAGTACAGACAAAATAGATGATTAACGAACTTTCACTATGTCGACAACTCACTCAACTCATGGGACATCTGAGGTGACATGACTGAAGTTCAGACCAAATAGATGATTAAAGAACTTTCACTATGTCGACAACTCACTGAACTCATGGGACATCTGAGGTGACATGACTGAAGTTCAGACCAAATAGATGATTAAAGAACTTTCACTATGTCGACAACTCACTGAACTCATGGGACATCTGAGGTGACATGACTGAAGTTCAGGCCAAATAGATGATTAAAGAACTTTCAATATGTCGACAACTCACTGAACTCATGGGACATCTGAGGTGATATGACTGAAGTACAGACAAAATAGATGATTAAAGAAA